GAACACAATCCATGACAATAGGGGTTTGCGCCGTGCTCACTTGGCATAGAATCACTCATCGGCATATCAAAACGGGAAACTTTTGCCTTCGCGTAAAGACAGACCATAATGTACTGTCTAAAAAAGGGAGTATTTCTGCTTCCCTTACCGGCTGCTTGAGATTATTTCGAAGGAAAGTGACTGAATTAAATAGCTTAAAGGGAAGTTACGACTGATTTGGGTGTTCATGTTTTGCACTAGTTACTATATCTTAGGATTTTATGGTCAGATGGACTAATCACTCAAGGGAACAAATTTTAATCTGACTTGTATAGGGCTTGTTGGTTAGGTTATAAAGAAATAAGGTGTATGGTTAAATCGAACTTTTCTTGCAGCCATCAGCCATGTCACCAAAGAAAAAGCGATGTAGCGGTAAAGGTTGCAATGATTTTAAAGTGCCGGGTGATGGGAAGCACATGTGCTCATTCCCCAAACTAGGGGAGAGGTATGTTACTCCCAGCAATCCGAATTTGAATGGATCATTTTGAAAACTAGAACTACTGGTTTTCTCTTACATTTTAGGCAAGAGTTTTGGGTGAAAGTCGGTGGAAATGAAAAATTGTTGACAATGAATCCGCTGTCCATTTATTTTATTTTAACTGTTACTTTTGTCCGGGTCACTTTGCTCTTGACCTGTTTGAAGATGTTAACAGACTGCACAAACTGAAGCGTGGGGCAAAGCCAACAATATTCGCAAATCCACCTCTGAGTGACGTGGACATGCTCCAATTCAAACATGGGAATGGTGTGTACATAGTTCACTTGCTCACTGCTTTATTTTAACCTTCAGTTTAGAAGTTCACAGTCCAAATGAATAGGTCGATGATATCTTTCCAATATGTTTGTCTACAGGGACGCCTGAGGTACACTACTTCAATGCTGAGCAAGCAGCAATCCTGGAGCATGATGATGATGGTAGCAGAGAGTCTATACCTCCACCATCATTATCAACATCACCACCATCACCACCTCCACCTCCACCTCCACCACCCACTTTGGACCATGGTCAGTAGAAGAGTCACTGTTATGATGTGTTGTGTTTGAAGTTTGGGGCAAAGTTCGCATAACAATCTGCAGTTTAACTGACTGTTTGACTCGCGCTACAACGTGTTTCGCCAGTCTCGTGGTGTGCACCATCTTGAGCTGACGTGAGTGCCGCGTTGTGTGTTTAGTTGGTAACTCGGGCAGAAGTAGCAAGGTAAGTCTTAAAATAATTGTACTGTGCTCGCTATGTTCGAGGTCGGTCTGTCCGAAGTCGGTCTGTCCGAAGTCGGTCTGTCCGAAGTCGGTCTCTCCGAAGTCGGTCTCTTCCAGGTCAGTCACGCCGCATCCCGCCGCGTCCCGCCGCTAATAAACGCCCACTAATAAACGTTCCGTTGTGACGTTAGGCCAATTTGGGCGTCAAACGGCGTCAAACGTACACTTGCCCGACGTTCCCACTCTTTGCCGCTCTAGAGACACTCTAAGGAGAGAGGCGAAACTGCTGCCAACCAAAACAACGGAATAGCGTTCTCTTTATTAATTGTTTCAGTGGTTTCAATGGCTCCAATTCATCCCTGCAAGCGCCCTTGTCTATGCTGTGAACAAGTACTGGCGTGCGAGTGCGGATGCTGCGAGCTGCACGCTAAAATGGACCCAGACATGTGGTGCCCTTGCCAGTGCCCATGTGAATGTTGCACGGAGCTACGGGAGAATGAATGTGAATGTGATTGCTGCGAAGCACATCGCAGTAACATTATGTGTGACGAGTGCAAGAATGGAACATGAATAAAAATAAAACGTCCATACCTCTTTAGTATTCCCGTTCCCCCGAACCTCCCTACGCGAAACGTGGGTGATAAAACAAATAGTGTGCTCAGTCGGTATGGCACTGCCGAAAATTGCCGTAATGAAATTAATCAACCACAAAAATTGGTTTGTGCCGTTACGGCGATACTACAATTTTAGTTAATCTCCTTTTGAATTTCGCGGTCGCCCCAAAATATGAGCAAATAAGCGAGAGCGTGCGCCGCTCCCGCGTCCCATATTTTAGCTTTTATATAAAACGTATCCGTGTTCAACCTTGAACAGACGATTCAGAAAGTTTGAACACAATCCATGACAATAGGGGTTTGCGCCGTGCTCACTTGGCATAGAATCACTCATCGGCATATCAAAACGGGAAACTTTTGCCTTCGCGTA